ATATATATATATATATATATATATATATATATATATATATATATATATATATATATATATATATGTGCCATAAAAAATCAATTATGATGATTTGATAAATTAGTCACCCATATCGTACAACAAGAAAGTTGTGCATGCTACAGTTAGCATGTTTGCCCATTTTAACTTGTTCTAGTCTAATATAAAAGTCACAAGCTCTCTTTGATCAATCATGCTACGGACGTTGTCTTTGCCTTTCTTGCTTCAAGTTTTGTTTAATCTAGAGATCTAGCTAATAATGAGTTTATTGGCATTCAATGACAGATAAAACTACACAAAAGAAATGTACAATATACCCATTTAAGCCATGGGAACCCCAGGATCAAAACAAGTATGGAGTTGTAGTATGGGTTCCAGACACCATTGATGAACTCATGAAAACAGCAGCAGATCATTTGAAGTTGGACCTTCATCCCACATCTTGTATCATAACAGAAGATGTAGGTAAAATTTTTGATGTGAACATGATTACAGATGGACAGAAGTTGTACTTAGTCACTATTGAAGCGTGACTTTGTATTGTTTTCTCTATGCTATGTTGCAAATTTTGCCATTCTTGCAATACAAATAAAATCAGGGAGTGTTTGTGAGATCACTAGGTGAGATAAGCCTTGTATATCTTTTTTTCATGGTTCTCCATTTCTATTTTATGGTTACCATGGGTATAAATTGTGTACAATGGGTTTGTGATATTGAATTATGTGAACGATCTTTCATATAATTGAGATAAATATTATTAAAAAGAAATCAAATAATTTTTTGTGATTCTTTTTGAGCAATATATTAAAATAAATAATTATGTAGTTTCCACAAGTCTCAAATTATATTCTTTTATTATTTCTATTTTCTTTAAAGGATACAACAATATTCTTTTATTATGGAATGTAGGTAATTGACCCTGGGCATTTTCCGAAATGATCATTCCGCCGGAAATTATGTTTAAGTCTCCATTAGCTTTGTTTTAGACTGTCATAAGACAGTTGAGATGTGACATAAAAAAATCCAAACTCTGACGACTTTGACTATTTTTCCTAAAAGCACATTTCGAACTATGTCTAGGTTTTAGAGAAATGAAAAAAACACCATTGACTATTGAATTAGATGCAGACATTGCCGAGCGCTATTCATGCCAAAAAGAGAGACTCAGTGAGAGTCTGTCGAGTTCCTCCAAAAACCTCGGCATGCCGAGGTGAGGGGGCGGTGTTCCCCTCCTTGCGAGCTCCCGGTCACCTTCCAACTCAGCCTTGCCAAGTGCTTCTTCTTCCCACTTCGTACAGCCTAACCAACAACTTTTTTAGTTTCTTCTTCGACTATTACTAACATGTATTAACACAACTAAATAATACATGAGTTAAAATATAGGACTATGAACTCTAATCCAAAATATGAACTACCTATATATAACTAAATTCTAAAATGCTAAAATTGCGGGGACATCCGATGTGACTTTTAGAAAGCACAAGTAAAAAAATTGCCAAGTACAATTTAGATCATTGACACTAACATAAAACATACATTTAAAAAGGTTCCTCTTTGAAGTTGAGAATTCATAAGATGTATATTCAAATCAAATATATCCAACAATATAAAATTATCAGTTGCAGCAGGTCCAAGTCCATTCTAAATATACTACAAAAGGTAAGGATGAGCAGCGGAAACGAGTACCTGCTTTCGGAACCGGAACCGTCTCGGAACTGCCGGTTCTGGAACTGGAACTGCCTTAGGCGGTTCCGGTTCCGGTTCCTAAAGTCTAGAACCGCCTTAAGCGGTTCCGGTTCCAATTCTCATTTTTACGAAACCAATACCCGCTGGATAACCGTCGGTTCCGGTTCCAATACCGGGTACCCGGAACCGGTACCGACGGGTACCCGCCTTTTTATAAAAAAAAAATATATTTAATTTTTATATTTTGGTGCCTTTGTTTTAAAAAAATTAGGGTAAAAGAACTTATATTGATTACCTTTAGACCAAATGCGTTTTTACGGTTTATGATTTTCATTCCAAAAAAACGCTGTCTTCTCTTCTCGTCACTCTCCTCTCTCCCCTCTCAAACCCATCCTTCGGTTAATCGAAGCTTCAATCGCTCCAGACTCCAGTCATCGTTCTGTTCAATCCAAGCTTCAAGCTTCGGTCGACACTTTAATCTGTTCCAGGACTTGAAATTCACTCGTCTCCCTCGTCTCTCTGTCTCTCAGTCGGCACTTCAAGGTGGACCACATCGCTCCGATCATCCCTACTTAGGTTCTCCCTCGTCTCTTTCATCTTCAAGGTCAAATTCTCAGTCGTAACTCTCAAACATGATTGTATCTGTTGACTGTGAAATTGGATATCTCGATTATCGATTTCTTAGGTTGTTAAACCTTCATCTGCGAATCTCGATTAGATTATTAGACTGTTAATTTCTATTTTTTTGTTGATTTTTTTGCTAATTTGTCGATTCTTTAGGTTGAATCTCGATTTCCATCTGTTAATTTTTTTTTGTTAATTTCCATTTGTGAATATCGATTCACTCCTAATCGCAAATTAAATACGTTTGATGTCTGCAGGCTCTACCGAATCAACATACGATTGATTATCCAAGTCTCCAATGTGTTATGATGAAACTGGTTGGCAGGTGCGAGCCAAGAGTAGGTGGAGGTGCACTCTCAAGGATGGAATTATGCAGGTTGCTTGGAACACCCACAGACCAACAGACCAGCAGGTTTCTTGGTGAGATACATACTGATATTTAGATACTACTTAAGTATATACTCAGCTTTACTTAATTATGGATTGATGAATATTTTTATTATGTCAGTCATCGTATGGGTTTGTTCCTTTGCGGGTTGCTTTGATTGGTGTTTTCCTGTCTTGCTATTGTGACACTTAATGGAAGGTATTTGTACATAGAAACCTCAATGATACTTTATGTTCTATTCTTGTTATTAGTCATTATAAAAATATATTTTATTCTTGTTATAAGTCCTTACAAATTCGCTTTGACAACTTAAAATTGCAGGTTTGGGCAGCTTATTAAAAGTTAACTAGGCATATGCGTGTAACCAAAGTGAACATACATCAGGTTTGTTAATATGATGTTAATCTTTAAATTATTTGGTTTAAAAATTGGTTTGATATCTGCTTTCTGGTGGACAAATTCTAGTGTCTCACTAGTGATGGTATGTCAATTGATTTTTGTATTAAATCTAACATTAGTTTATCTTTTTATCCAAGAAGTCATGTCATAATATCCAATTTCTATCTTTTTTTTGCTTTTCAAATGAACCATTCTAATGTTCCAATATATGAAAATTTGTAAACCTCAGCAAAAAGATTTGTGAATCACATACTAAATCTTATGTTATATCCATTCATTTTTAATTGATTTAACTAAACACAAATAATCAAGCGTTTTTGAGGGTTTATGTCTGGTATATGATTGATAAGTCTTGAATGGATTACCATTTTCATTAACTTCTGATGGTTTTCTTCTATATAACTTTACAGGAATCTTACCAATCACATACTAAATCTTATGTTATATCCATGCAGCATACCGTTCTCGACAGATGAGCTGACAAGATCAATGGATCCAATTCGAGGCTATGTTGTTTTTGATGTGTTGTTTTTCTTGTTGCTGTTTTATGTTTATTGTTTGTAATTTGTCATTTTTGTCATCTCTACTTATTAAATTTCACATGATGGGAAATGTTTCCTATGATGTTTTTTAATTGTGGGAAGTGTTTTTAAAGTTTAATAGGTGGTTATGTAAAAGATCAAGTTTTTATAATTGTTTTATTTTCATATCTTCTGCTTCTGATGTTTGTAAACGTTAATATCCATGCCATGTACTCTATAATTTATAAATAAAAAGTTTTATATTTAAAAAGTCGGGTACTCGGAACCGGAACCGGTTCCGGCGGTTCCGGGAGCGGTTCCAATTTTCAAGAAACCGGTGTAGGCGGTTCCAGTTTCGGTTCTAATAACTTAAGAACCGCCGGTTCCGGGAGCGGTTCCGGTTCCAGCTAAAATAGGCGGGTACCCGGTTATGCTCATCCCTAACAAAAGGTTGGTTCTATTAAGTTGCAAACATCATATCAAAATCTTGTAAAAAATATATTTCTATTGTACCACATTCAAGAACAGTTGACTCAAGCATGAGAAAAGTATCAAGAATAATCAAACTTTCCACATCTTGTGAGCTTTTCTTCTGTAAATTTAGAAAGAGACAAAGGTTGGTGTTAATAGGTACTTGTATGGCCTGTTCCAAGTGATTACTAATTACCAAAAGAATAATTCAATAGAGTAGACTTATTTTCTCCACCACCCTCCATAAGCTTTATCACCCCTTTACTTATCTTTATCTCCAACCTCTTCTTCTTCAATGGGTTATACACCCATAACATATAACATAGATGGCATGGACTACAAAAAAAATAAAAAATAGAGATCGGGAAGAGGAAATCAATAGAGAGAACCCAACATCCAAACCCTATTTACCTTCATCCCCATCTCTCCTTCAACCTCTTTTCTTCATTGCTAGATTGCAAACCTTCATTGCAATTTCACACCCCTCCCTTATAAGAAAAAGATTAGAGCAAACAAGGAATCATGCAATAAATGCCAAACCCTACTCCTTCCCACCCTAAGATAAAAAATTGGCCTACGCTTTCTTTCTCTTTACAAGTTCGATGCAACCAAATGAAGAGAATGAATCTTTAATCAAGCTGAGATCTAATAGTCATCTGGAATTGACTTGTATGGATACACAATAGATACAATTTGTACAGATTGTGATCTACTATGCATCGAGGGTATGTACTTTTGAACTCTTTATGGTTGTTTTAGTTTGTAAAATCAGGTTTAACTGGATCCTTGGTTTAGAGTTGATAAAATTTTGATACATAATAGATACAATTTGTACAGATTGTGATCTATTACACATCATGTAGAAATATGCCTCCAAAGTTGTCAAGTAGCAAACACTTCAAGGACCAAAGTTGTAACTTGGTATTTAATATATCACTTGATTCACCTATTCTAAAGAAGTCAAAATGTCATAAGGTTTAACTACACATCTTTTCTTACTAGGCATTATTGAGAATTATTGAGAAGTCGGTGAAAGTCATAGACTTTTAGGTAAATCCATTTATCCATTTATCACT